TGCGTTGTACTGTTGTTTTTTTTTTGCTTTAATAGATGGAGATCTCCCCCCCTCCAATTTTTGTACCTTTTCTTTTAATTAACGCGTAGGGAGCCACCGTTGCTCTTTCCCAAAAAAAGAAAAGAAAGAAAAAAATAATATATATATATAAATACTAATCAAATACATAATTTTGTTAGGTATCACTAAGTAAAATATTTTCTAAGGAGAAAGTGATGAGCAAAAAAATCTCGTGGTCAAGGCGTGTAATCATACATCTATTTTGTATTAATTATGTTTCTTTAAATTTAAATGCATTACATGATTGATAGATTTTTAATCAGCACAACATTTGAAATATTTAAAACATAAAAGTATTTGATAAAAATTAATTAAATACCCATTTCATTGTATTTGTACAAACTTTATAATTCATTTTAGAAATATTTAATATATTGTAATCACTTTTGATGTTTGGAATTTATGTTAAAGGACTAAAATGATTATGATGATTATCAAATGAAATTAACAAATAATTTATCAAAAGAGTTACTTCTTTATGGTACTTGTTGGGAATGTTGTTGTGCCCGTGCATGAAAAAGGAAATAGAAAAGGTTGTACTTTCATTGGTATAAAAATTTTAACGATGCTCTTGAAATAAATATTTAAATAAAATGTATAAATATTCTTACATGAAAAAGGTGAAAATGTTAATACGAGAAATTAAACATCAATATTTGATCATTTTAAACTATTCACTTGTTAGAGTAAATGCGTAATAAGTAGTATAATGTGGATTTGTAATTATTCACTAAGTTTTCTGTTAAAATTATTCTTTTACTTAAATGTTTATTTTAAGAAAGACTATATTGAATCAAAATGATTGACAATAGAGATTGTCCATAGAAGAAGGGGATCAAATGATAATAAGTATGAAACAATATTATTTTTATGTTTAGTTTTTTTCTTAGTATTGGTACACATTGAATGTCCTTATATGTTTGGTTTGGATGATCTTTAATATATTTTTTAGTTTAGTGACTCTTTTACAGTTGAATCTCGACCTAAACAGATAGCTCAATTTTCTTATATATATGTTAGAATTGTTTTTGTTTATCGTCCAACTGTTCGTTCCTGTTTTAAAAATTTCAAACTTTCAGGTCAGGTTGTGACAAATACTAATTATCTGTTTCGGCCGATTTTAGAAAAAAAAAACATATAAAAAGGGTTTGGATTTATGGTACATATTTAGAGATGACTCTTGATGAGTTTACTATTAAATAAATTATGAAAATTGTAATAAGAAAGCTAAGCTATCTGCTATTGCACTGTACATTTTATGACAACTGATATATATCATTCTAGTTTTGCATTTTTTTCTTAATTATTGAATTATTATAATTTAAAAACATATTTAGCCAATTAGTTATTTGACATAAAATAATCGATGAATTTTTTTTCTGTAAAACTCTTTTAATTTAAATAAATGATAAAAGATTATTTTTTTACAGATGTTAGGGAGCGATAAGAGATACGTAATGTAATATATTGCTATTGTATAAGTTGTGATTGAAAAAGGTTTTAAATTTGGATGTGTTTCATTAAGTTTTTTTTTGATATAGTTGACCTTTTTATAAATATTGAAAGGTTTTTATTTTTTACAAAATTTGGAAAAAGTTTAATGAAGTAAATTTTTTGTTCAATTGTTAGTTTCTGCATTGGCAATGCAAACTTCTGGGTTGGGTCGTGACAACTCATTCAATATTTTAGTACTTACACATATTATTTTGATGTGGTGGGAAACACGTAGTGTTTGTAATTTTATTCTTGTAGGTGACCCTTTTTTTTGGCATGGTGGTTGAAATATTCATGTCTTTCTTGGTGTGATGGGAGTTGATGACCCATGCTATCAAAATAAGTATCAGTATGCATTTTTTTTGTCACAATGAGAGAAATTGTTTGTAAAATTTCAGATAGATACACGAGGACCCACATGTGTCTTTCTTGGCACGATGAGATAGTCCTGACTGTGGGACATATTGGGAGGTTATGAATTGTTTGATAAAAAATAGATTAAACTTGAGAGAACTTAAACTGCTTTTGGGGATAAAAATAGGACAAAAATGAAATTAAGATTGCAAAATGACATTAATATAAATTTGAATTGATATACAAATCACGCCTAAACAATAAATTGAGCATAAAGTTGGACATATGAGGGATTTTTGAACCTGAAAGCTAGCGCACGAGCTTAAAAATCTCGAATAGTTGGAACATATTTGAATGCTTAACACTTTTGGGAGCATGGTGGCTGAATTAAACTTGGAATTAACATGTCTGAGAAATGTTCCTATTTATTGGAAAAATATAATTTAATGTGGGGCCACTCGAACAAAATGGGGTTAATTACAAAATTTACTAATTGACCAATGAAAGCAGACAGTACGATTAATAATGCACTCAAAATATAAAGTTATGTTCATCTCTTGATGATTGTATCTGCATGTTACTGTTCACCAGAATTGGCCTTCATATTCTTACTTGCTTGTGTTTATGTGAATGAGATACTTTTGAAATAAAACCAAACTGTCTGATTGATTCTGTGTCGTGTTGTTCAAATGCTTCTTGCAGCGCATGTTGATTGACAATACGTTTCTGTGAATGATAGCATATTCCTACATACGAAAACCTTTTACATGAGACATACAATTCATTATTGTATTTCTAGGGTAGCGTGGTCATTTCGAGAAGACATGTATGATCAGTCAAAGTACCGAAAGCAAATTTGTCCATGTGTTTTGACAAACCTCTTAATGGCCCAAACTAATGTTTGGGAATGTTGTGTGGACTAACATTATGTGAATTTAAATTGTTCGACATCGAGAAGTATACTGTCATTTTGAGAAATTCAAACTTTTTAAATTCAAAGCTTAATTTTGACACATACAGGCTAAAAAAAATGTTGTTTATCAGTAAATTATGAGCAAATTTTATCAAGCAGGCCACAAGTTTGATCTTCCAATTTATGAGTATTAGAGTTGCTAAGACTTATATTAAAAAAATGATGTTTATTCTCAGTCTTACACAACTAATTCATTATCATGTGCTGAGAAATAGGTGTTTTCTAGCGAATTTTAGAAAAAATATTTTGTCAACAATTTATTTACAATCTTCAAAGCCTTTTTATGAAGAAAATTCATTTCTAAATGATAAATCTTGGCACCATTACACACCATTACATGTATAAAATCTAAAAATGAGTTCAAGTTATAGATCCAATCCTTTTATCTACAAATGACAGAGTTAGCAATCTCTGTAGTGTGATGAATTTTTAAACAAATTCAAACCATATGTACATCACAGACTCGATCCTTTGTAGGCAAGTGAATAGAATTGACAGTTTAAAAGGATAAAATGAAATTGTTTAAATATCTTTATGCTAGACATATTCAGTGCACATTAACTGGAGGGGTCAACATCTAAAATCTAAATTTTTAGATAGCAAATCTTAATGATACAAAATTTATACCCTGATAATGACTGCATTAATCGAAAATTTCAATTGGAAAGAATACTATCATTAAAACATTTCAAATACTCATGCAAATCTTTTTGGATATTAATCCCGAATATTTAGAAAATGAAGACAATTTCAAATTATATATTTTTTCAAAATAAATCTGTTGTTCCAAAGTTAAGAGCAAATAATCAATCAAACATTCGTAACAGTTTGTAAAGGTCGATAAATTTAAGTTTAACATAATCTTGCAAATAATCAGTTTCATATGAGATGTAGTTCTATGATTACTCTTAAAGTTCTCACGCCATTAAGTGATTTTGCTGCCAAATGATATCATAAAAATGTATGGCTATGTTCGGGGTTATGACTATATCTTTTTCCGCAAAATGACACTATTAAATTATGATCTTGGACAAAACGTGCAAGCTTTTCAATTGATGTAAATTTATTTGGTGGTGAATTATAAAGTGTGTTTGATAAAGCACTTGACTTTTTGCAACTTATGTCAACGTAAAATTATTACTTTAGACAAATATCCACCTAGTTTACAATGGCCCTGGGATGACAAACTTATAAGCTCCCTTTCTGGTTCGCCATCATCCCCCATCATCTGCTTTGAGTTGACAATTCTAATTTCCTTTTATTTTAAATTAAAATTGTTGGTACTATATGCTTAGTATTTAACAGTGAGCAACTAATTTTAATCAGAAGTTCTATTTTATTACCAGGTGGGAAAATTAACCAAAAAGGGCTTGCATTTATTAGAAATCTCAAATTAGATTTTAATATCTTTGCAAAATGCAGGCGAAATTTTTGGGTAAGATCTTATCTCAAATTTTAATTTGCCTTCCAAAAGTTTAGCCCTGAGCACACTAACTCTCTCATGAGAGCCTGGTGCAATTTTTTGGAGCCCACTAAGTATGTTGGAAATTTATTTTTGCTTGGACTCATATAATGAGTTGCATAGAGAAAGCTACGGTTGTGAACACTTTTGATCACCATGCTATATACTTTCACTTGACCCCTTGAGAGGAACATATCGGAGGAAAAGTGGACAGATAATTAGGTTGATTTTTATTACTGGCCATTTGCTTGCTGAGCTTTGAAGCTGGTAGCGTTTTATGCGGGCATCTTGTGTTTGGGAGCGAAGAGTAATTCATTCCTCATGCTTGGTATCATTAATTTATTGAGCAATCATTTATTTTGATCTATTATTAACTAATCATTGACTGAGTTGCTACTTTGAGACTTATTTTTTTTGCTTGTATAGAATTTCACGTTTTTTTGTTTGAAGAATTCTGCTTTGATTCTTTTGTTTCACTTATTTCAATAGAATGCTTCAAGTAACTTTTGTGCTGAGTTTTGTTTGAATGATTAATGTGCCAAGTTTAAGTTTAAAAAAATGCATCAACAACCTTGTTTGGTACTTTGAGATGGAGGCTTGGTACTTGTAAGATTTCATCCATCTAATCCAGTATATGGTAATTACAAAATTTTGCAGGACATTATACGTCTTCCAAGGCTTTTTCGTTTTCTTCAGAAGCCATTGGCACAGTTTGTTTCTATTGTTAGAGCACCAAAGAGCAAAGAAGGATATGCTTCAATAGGAGGCGGTTCCCCGCTTCGGCAAATAACAGATGCACAGGTATGTATAATTAAAATTTACTGTCTTCTTTTTGTTACTTTCCTGTACTGTTCTTAACACTTATAATGGTAGCAGTTTGACAGCCATAATTTCATTTGGTATTTATTGAGTTAATTTTTGAATGTTGATTTATTTGGTAAATTGTACATAGTTCATTGATACTACAAAATTATATGCCTTTATTTATAATTTGTTTTGATGATGATTGATTGAGAATTCCAAAGCAAGGGCGCTATACTTCATGCCCCAAGGCTAGATTTTTAAATTGTTGGCCATTACGGGACTGAATTTGGTTTAATATAAGATTTCTTGTGTAGACCGTGGTTGGGATAAATTTGGGAAAGCAGATTCCTGTATGTGAAGTAAGAGTTTTGGCCTCTACACCGAATAATTCCTGAAAATGGGGAGCTACAAGATTTTTCTGATTATTAGTCCTAACACTATTCTTTGTAGGTAATGATCCTTCAGTATTGTTTTCAATAGGGTTTGAAGGTGTAGGTTGCCCAGCAGAGCCATCCAACATCAACATCCCTCTCCTTTGATCGACTGAAGCATAGGCGACGAAAATTGCCATTCGAAACCCTAGCAGAGCTCTCGACCGCCATCTCTATTGATATTTTACCTTGATTTTTTTCCTCTAACGTGTTAAATATGTAGTAGTATTTTTGCTGAAGTATATATATATTTGAAAGCCCAAAAGACTAATATATTAAATAAAAAGAAAGATACAGATACAATGTGTGGGAGGGCCCAAGCATGACACCCTGCCCACACAAAAATCACAAATGGTTCTAAAACTAGAAAAAATAGAAAAATACATTAGATATTTAATTAGAAAGCCTAACTGATCAAAATACAGTATCAGGTGGCTAGAGAGCGACCCAATTTGATCTTGCCTTTGCCTCTAGTTCTAGGGAGTGAGCAAGCTAATAAGCTGATAAGATGATCGCCATTGCCAATAGTAATTGGTCCATTAGACTCCTGAGCTCGAATAGATCTTCATTCTTCTTATTCCTCCTGGAAGTATAAATCTGTCATTCTTCATCCGAAAAGTCAATCCGATGAGATGGTAGAGTTGTAACAGAAGCATTACCAACTGTAATACCCATAATAGGTTCTAGTATATGTGAAGTATGAGTTGCCTCTACACCAGATACTTCCTGAAGAAGTGGGGCTACGGCGGGCTACGAGGTTCTCCTGATTATCAGTCTGAACACTCATTCGTAGGTAATTGTCCATCAATATTGTTTTCTATGGGATTTGAAGGTGTCAGCATCACGTCACTTGCAGTAACAATAATAACAGTGTCATGGGGATCCTCAGGGGCAACAGACACCTCATGTCTGGTAGTATCCTCTCCAGATGGAACTAAAATGTCCAGAGCAGTTGGGTTAGACCCATCCTTATTCACTTGAACCTTAGATTTCAAATTTGGATGAAACTTGTGGCATTTATCAAGAACATGACCAAACATCTTATAGTGGGTACAATATGGGGGCCTGTGCTTCATGACAATTTGTTGCTAATAACCATTATGGGTTGTGCCCAGCCAGATTTCAATAACATCAGGTAAAGTAATATCCCTTTCCACAAGTATTCTGGCCACCGAGGGTCTGGTGATGTTGAAGTAGGTAGATTTAGCTTCAAAAGATCCTCAAGGATGACCCCAATAGAATAGAGAACTTGATGGTGAAAAAAAAAAAGCTTGAGACCAGTTAAACTAAATCATACCGGTACAGTGGGAGTCTCATGATTTGGGTCGAAATCAGGAGACCGCTTGTGTTGCCTCATAGGTTTACTAGTGATGTTAAGATATTTTCTGGAAAAAATCTGAGTGTAGTCCTCAGGCACGGTTAACTGAATCAATACATGTCTTTCATCCATGAGCCCCACTTTTCACTTTTCTATTAATTTAAGGTCATTAAAATTTTTCCTGATAATTTCCATAGATGGGTGTCCCCACTGAAATTTCCCAATAAGAGAGAATTTGAATTTGTCAGCCAGAGTTGAAATTTCTGACGTGGAGAAAAAAAACGCTGCTTTCCCACTTTTTCTGCTTGTATTTTTAATAAAAGGACAGTCACTTGTACCATCACGATGGTCCTTATAACTTGAAGGAAAGACAACCGCCGTCTCTCCCTTAGAATTACCTACCACTTGGGTAAAGGAGGAGGTTTTGCCAGGTTCAACTGAAGAAGGAAGCTCCATCACAACAAAGAAAAACCCTTCAAGTATGGCAGAGGCAAAAAAGACAAGCCGAAGAGCTACGTAGGAACCGTAGATGAAATGCGCAGAAGACAGAAGACAGGGCACAAAGTCACAGCTCGACAAAAATTGCAGTTCAATCCACACAGAAAAGAATTGCAGAAGCTCAAAGCCTAGCTGGAAGGCGCGAAGGAGGAGACGATAAAACCACAGAAGCAGACGCCGAAGCTCTTCGTCGTTTGACACGAGAGAGAAGACGACGATTCGTCGTCGTTGTTGAGTGCGGGAAACAGTGTCGTCGTCGTCCAGTGCGGGAAACCTCGTCGTTGAGTCATATATATATATGATGAATCCTTGGTTTCTCTGGTTCACTGCGATTTCGTCTTTCCTCGTCTTCGTCTTCTTCGGTTGTTCGTCGTCGCGTTGTAGCGGCTCGTTCAGCGGCTCTCGCGTGAAGGCGTTGGGCTCGGGGGCATCATTTGAAGGACGTCTGGGCGCGGGCTTCTTCTGCGGCTCGTTCTTTCGTCATCCCGAGAAGCGCGAGCTCCTTTTTTCGACTCGTGGCTCGTTCTTCGTTATCCCGAGATTCTTCGTCCCCCCGAGAGGCGCCGTCTTCTTTTGCGGCTCCTGTCCTCGCTCGCAGGGCACGGGCTTTCCTCAGGCTCGAATAAATCGCCCACTGCTCGACTTCCCTTTTGGCATTTGCTCTACCGCTCTACTGTCACTTTGCTGTCCCACAACCCTGCCTCCCTTTTTTGGGATGGCTTTGGACAGATCGTATGCTGCCGCCCTTGCGGGTTGTTCACGCGTCACGTACACCTAAATCACCATCTTTTCCTCCTTCATTTGAGTGGGTGGACATCAAGAAGCGTGGTAGGAAAAATGGAAAGCCTGCCATATTTTTTACAGAAGACGATGGTATTCAACTTGCTTCCTCATGCCGTCTGAATTTGGTTGAAAAATTTCTATATGGTCATCCCAAAATGGAGTTCATTCGTAAAGAATTTAAACTTATGCACCTTGTTGGAGAGTGAAAAATTGGACTATTAGATTGGAGACACGTTCTTATTGAAATTAACAATGAAGAAGATTACGTGCGCTTATTTATTATAAGGATAATCTGGATTGATAACAGAGCAATGAAAGTTCTGAAATAGTATGTGAATTTTGACCCACAGACGGAACCACCAATCATTCCAGTTTAGATTCGCCTCCCTGGTGTGAAATTTTATTATTTTTCTCAAAAAATATTGTACGCTATTGCCTCAGCTTATGGAAAGTCACTCAAGATGGACATTCTTACTTTTAATCTTTCCCGTCTATCTGAAGCCAGAGTACTTGTTGAAAGAGACATCACTTCACCCGCTTCTGAACCCGCTTCTGAGGAAATCTGGTTGGACACACAACACCATGGATATTGACAGAAGGTAGAGATTGAGCATTTTTCGTCGTATTGTTCGAACTCTCGTATGTTCGACCACTCCAGTTCTCAATTTCTCAATGTACACCCCCACCTCAGACCAAAAAAATAAAGTGCTCCGCTAGAGGCTGTGATTCCATCTCATCCCGATCAACAGTAAGTTTTTGACACTATTGATCATCAGAAGGATACCCGAAAGACGTCAATATCCCCGTAGGCATTATGACGACCATTCAGTCTCCAGTTGTAGCTCCTCAATCTTTGGAACTTTCTATCGTGGGCGAGAGAGATTCTTCAGACTCCGCCTGCCATAGAACTTATGCCGATAATACATGTAGAAATACTTCTATTGCTTCACCACCGCCTCATCAGATCCAGAAAGATGTTAATGTTACTCAGGCTCATGGGGATCATGATGTGCAACGACCTACACATCATGGGGATCTACTGCTTCTACTGCTTCACCACCGCCTCATCAGGTCCGACCACCTTTGGAATCTACTGATTAGATAAGTCTTTCATTGGATGAGGAATGACATGCCTACACATCCAGGAGGAAGAAGAAGAAAAGAGATTTACTCGAGCTCAGGAATCTGATGGATGATACTTTGATTACTACACGCAATGGTACTCACCTTACAAATTTGTTACTTAGGCTCATGGGGATCATGATGTGCAACGACCTACACCTGTCCGACCACCTTTAGAATCTACTGATTAGATAAGTCATTCATCGGAGGAGGAATGACATGCCTACACATTCAGGAGGAAGAAGAAGAAAAGAGATTTACTCGAGCTCAGGAATCTGATGGATGATAATTTGGTTACTACACGCAATGGTACTTTCCTTACAAATTTGTTAACCAACTCACTTTCAAGAACTCGAGGCAGGAGGACTAAAGTGAGACGTCCCTAGCACTTTTGTGGCTTTTTGATTTTTTGTCTTTATATAACTTTGCTTTATTTGATATGTGTTGTGTGTGTTGTATTATATTGTTGGGCCTTCTTTTAAGTCTTCTCATACAACCTTTCTGTATCTTTTCCGTATTAATATATTTGCCCTTGGTTTTATATATATATATATATATATAATGTTAAGAAAGTTTGATTTTTATTGCGATTAGAGCTATTAAATTCTGAATTTGAGGGAGCATTGTGATACAAATTTCTTGTACGAGAGAAGAGGAAGAACAACGGGCGTGAAGTGTAGAACTGAAGCTTATCATAACCTTATTTTGAGAGTTAAGGTAAACTTTGTGTTAGATTTGCTTATTAGAATTTTATATATATGAAATTATACATGTTTATTGTGCTAATATGAAATTAGGTCAATTGAGGTCAAAGAAAATGATAAGCAAGTTAAGTGGAGATTAAGTTAATAAAGAGACCTCTTAATAATTGAGGTGAGTAATTATATTTCTAAATTCTAATAACTATTTCTATTTCAAATTTCATATTTGATTTCATGTATTTTTTAGTTCAACAATAAATTCTTCATATTGTCAAATAGAATAAATGTGCATGTTAATTATTGTTGCATAACAATTTAGTTTATGATGATATCAGATCATTGCTTAACTTTAGTACATGTCTACATATGAGTTTAATAGAGTTCTACGTATAAGCTTATCGCATGATCACATATATTCGTCACATTATTATGTAACCTCTAGAATTTTAGTAAATGTGCATATTTTAGTTGATTCCATGACTTATAGATATATTAAGTTTGCATTATTTCATCAGCAGATAGAGGTAAATGATTCATGCAAAGGAATACATGATATTGAAGAATGAAATAACTTACATATGAATGTTTGTATGTGCATGTTTAGAGGAGGAGTTCACCCCCTAATGCTACAGGCAGAGGACGTCAGTGTAGTTGTGCGTGTTGAAATTTTTCTATCACTCAAAACAAGATAATATCGACAGGTGGCGAGTAGACTATAACTTATCTCCCTAGAAATTTGTGATGTTTATATTGCTAATCATTGTGCCAACAAAATAATATTGGCCAGGGGCAGGTAAGGGCCTTTCCATTCTTGACAATTGCGATGTGTAATTCGCTAACTACTGTGCCGATGGAATTGAATGTGCAATATAAGCCAATAGCGTGTTAGGTTTGTTGACGGTGATCCTTACACAGACAGATGTGTACATAAAACTTATAAAGTTTAAGTTAATGCATATAAGAATTTAGAGTATTTTTATTTAGAAAAGGTCATTGATGCTTGCGTTAGTATATTCAAAGATTTCATATGAAAGACTAGCATAGTAAATGATTTCTTATAGATATATAAAAGACTAGTATGCATATTAAATTATTTTTCTTGGATTATTGTAGTTTACAAGTGTGATTGCTCTTAGCTTACCTTTAGATAACACATTATATTGCTTTAATATTTCTTTTTTAGGTTTAAAATTTTTGATTAAAATAAATAGAAGATGATCAAATGTGTACAAAGGACGAGAACAACAATCAGAAAGATATAAATTAGAATTTATTTGTTTTTGTTAGCAGCTCTTTCATGAATATTTGAATAGTTAAATGTTAGTGATAGAAATAGAAAAATAGAGAATTTATTTCCACCGTCCGACTATCCATTCCCGTCTTGGTTGATTTCAAGCTGTGACCGGCTTGTGACATGTGAACATTTAAATATGTCTAACCCACTCTTCTTAAAAGGTGACCAAACTTGGTTTGGAGGTTCTCATCAAATTCAAGATAAAATGATAAAATTACAAGAGACTATTGACTGTGATATTGGCTGATAATGGCTAATTTATGTATAAAAGTAATAACTCATGAATTAAAAAATTATTTAAACAGTCCTCATGCAAGATGCTCAAGATCATAGCATCAAAAAAAAAAAAAGAAAAAAAAGAAAAAAAAAAAAAAACTAATTTGGTCTATTTCATCTTGTTTTGATCTTCATAATTGTTCAAAATATGGTATCCCTCTGAAATATGACAATGAGAGTTTATTTGGTTCTGTTATCATTTATCTTTCCATAACAAACATTTAGTTGTAGGAGATCCATCACTGATTTTGAGGAAACCAGACTGCTGGCAGTGTAAGCAAACGAAATAGATGCTTCTTAAAAGAAATCCGAAATGAATCACATCAAATCAAGCGCTAGTGCTACATTTTTACAAGTGAATTAGTGGCAATCTCAAAAACTTTTTCATGCAATAAAGTGAAAAATTGAGCTTGCATAGATGCATTCATGAGTATCTATTTAGGAGGCTCTTTGGGTTGGTGAAAATTTGATGCAAAGAGTGCTTACATTTTCTATATTGTTTGATTTGATGTAAAGTTGGTAGTAAAAAGCTATTTCTTATACTTCATAGTTAAGTAAAGTTAGTAGAAGAAGGCTATTTTTTAAACTTCTTAGTTCATTTCCTTCGCAAACCTGAATGCAGCAAAAATTGGCCTCATTTACTTTTCATGTGTTATTTTATGTTGCATTCCACACGCAGAACAACCCCTAAAACTACAATTCTAGATAATTTTCTTTGAATAAACAATGAGGGTGATTTCAGTATCACGATAGTTCAATAATTGCACAAAATGTTTGCATTCTATGGTATTTCTTTTGAAAAGCGTAACATCTATAGTTTCTTAGTTCTTGAATTTTGTGGGGAGAAAGCTAAATTATATTCTTTATTACTCAAACCTGTGATTCTGATAATGATGCTCTGAGTAGTTTTACTTGGCATTAAATTTAAGCAAATGTTGCATGTTTTCTATTTCTGATCAAAACAGTATTTATTGCAATTCATGTTAGTTTTTTCATGTTTCAGTACCGAATTTACAGAGTAATATTAATTCTTTGTTAAATTTATGAATGGTGAGGTAATGATTTTTGTGCTTGTAGTTTAGGCAGAAGAATTGAGGAAGGCTTTGTGTGACAAAAATGTTCCAGCAAAGGTGTATGTTGGAATGAGGTACTGGCACCCGTTCACTGAAGAAGCTATTGAACAGGTTGGTACTTGATTACATCTTATTTACACAAAGCTTAAGCCTATAACACTATTTCATGACATTTTAATTTTGTACTCTTTTATACAGCTTTGTTGTTACGACACCACAAAGCAACTTAAAATTTTCAAAGCTGGAATGAATGGTCGGACAATAGGCATACATAATTTTTACATAGCAATTCACAACAACATTCAAATGGTAAAGAACCACTAAATCACAAGAGTTCGTATACATCATTCAAACACATACAAACAATACTAGTAGAGAAAATAAATTAAATACAGAAACAATACCGTCTAAAACTTTTTTATTTGTTCCCATTATCATGCACACAACATTCAAATATTAAAGATCCACCATATTAAAAGGGTTCTTATATATCACTCAAAACACAATAAAATGTCCAATTATAATAATACTAGTAAAGAAAAGAAATTAAACACAAGCAATATTGATGCCTATATTTAGTTGCTCCCTTTTTTGATACCGTTCTAGGGCTCTTAGAAGGTATTTGAAAAGTAGATTTTTTGGGGAGGAGGTTGTGGAATATTGAGAAAAGGCTGGTATGTGTGGTTGATGGTGTTTGAAAGGGATTGCTGGGATAAATCAGCTGTTGGGCAGTAAGTTTAACATTGTCGGAAGCTATTCTAGCTGAAATTTTTCAAGTTGGATGGCGAAATGGCGAGATACATATACACCACTTGCAAAAGTAACATGATTCAACATTCTAAAGGGCACGAGTTACTCCGAAGAGCAAAAATCAGAGAAAAGTTTCTTAAATTCATAAAATTAACAAAACTGAAGTTTCAAATAGCCAAAACACAATATATATCAGCTCTCTAATAGGGAATAACCTAAATCAGAAAATAAAGAAAAATGAAAGGAATCAAGGAAGAAATGATTGAAATAAAAAAGATCCGACACTTTCTATTTCGGGATCACGGGAATCCTGTATCTACTGGATCGTGGGGATCCCACATCCGCGGGATCACGGGAATTTGCATAAGTTGCGTCCTGCGTCAATCTACTTGGCTAGGAGAGACTTTTCCTTCTCTTGAAGGATCTGGATCCGTGTTGAATGTTGTTTCCCACAAAGCACCTAAAAACATTTTCAATGTCGTGGCTTATCTCACCTGTTTGATCATCTGTTGGTGGGTGCACTGCTGAACTTAATTGGAACACTGCAATTTACACATTCACTATGCCGCACACGATGTTAACTTACATTGGTCCAATCGTTGACGAACTCGTTCAGATGACCCCAGATGATGAAACGGACCACACGAGTTTATCTAAAATGTCAATTTTAGCTAAGAAAGACACCCATATTGCTATGATTCTGCACGCGAGTAAACAACACGAAAATTGAGACGTATAAAAAAATTGATTAAAGGAGGCGTGTTCAGGATTAACACGGCCCAATTGTACCAGCTCAAGCCAATAACGCGATTTGTAATTTGAAATTTCAAATTAGCCGCTCAAACTCTCTTTAATTGAATTTAATTAAGCATTATGACCTTCTAATTGAGTCCGAAACATGAATGGATATCACTTAATCGCTAGCCTTATGTCCTGTAACGTCTCCTGTGAATATTCGATTATACAATTCGGCTGGCCTTCTCCTTTCGGGCATTCGACTTGCCCCCTCATTCCACCAAAACCCTCGCCTCTCCCATTCGACTTTTCACTTGGTTTGGGATTACCTGGCTGCTCGTCTTTGCCTATTCATTCAAGCGGCGATTCTGCTTAAGGTTTATTTTCTTCACTTGCTTTTTTTCATTCTTCGGCGAGGTATTTCCGGTGTTCACTTCTCCTCCACTCATTCCCTACTTTCATCAATGTTTATTTTTGGTTTGTTGTCATTGTTTGTGGTATGTATGCGACACTTTTGCTGCCGCGGTTTCTGGTATGCTATCTTTTTGCTCTTCTTGATTGTGGTTTATAATTCTTTTATGATTTGTGGTTTGTGGTCTCTTTGCTCTCTGTTGTTTGTTGTTGGAATAGATGGATGCGAATGTTCCCTATTTTGTTTTCTGTCTCTGTAAGGTACTTGGTTTTGGGTCTCTTTACTATTTACGGATTGTGGTTGAAAGAACGAGAATCATTTTTCCTAAGAATTTGTGGAAGATTCAATTTTTTTGTGAATTTTGGAGAAATCAGTATGTACTCTTCTTGCTATAGGGGTTTGCGGTTGGATGAGAAGGATTTAGAATATCCTTATTCTTTTATGATCTTTGGTCTCTTTGCTTTTTTCGATCCCGACTGCAAGAATGCCCACGACGGTTTCAGGTCATGGGTGTCTTTACTCGAGTCAATTTGTGAATGTTACTTGAGTTTGAGGTTATCTTGTTTAATGTGATATGTAGTCTGATAGAGGAGGATGGTAATCACCTTTAAAAAACCAATGTGGGGGCCTCGTAACTCATCGAGATTGCACCTCGTTTTTTTTGTATGCATAGTGGTGGTATGTGGAATAGGTGTGATGGTGTTTCTCTCTTTCTCATATGTTGTGGTTTATGAGTTCTAGTGGTGGTTATGGTGTGGTGGTGATGGTGTGATGGTGGTGGTGTGGTGTGGTGGCATTGCTCTCTTTCATACTATGGTGTTGTATATGAGTTGTAGTGGTGGTGTTGATGTGATGGTTGTGGTGTGGTGGTGTTGCTCTCTTTCTCATTATATTATGGTTTATGGGTGGTAGTGGTGGTTATTGTGCGTTGGTGATGGTGTGATGGTGGTGGTGTGGTGGAAATGTTGGTGTGTGTCGATGTTGGGGGTAGTTCTTTGGTGCCATGGTGGTTAAGGGTGTAAATGAACTGAACACGAATTAACAGTTGTTCGTGAAATTGCTGTTTGTGTTCGATTCGATTTGTTCGAAATTAATTCGAATTGTTCGAATAATTTGAATTGTTCAGATTATTCAAATTGTTCAAATTATTCAAAAAATTTCAAATTTGCTTGTATCGTTTGAATTGTTAAATAGACAACAATTTAATTATTAAATCTCAAATTACCAAAAATAATAAATAACATGACATTTAAAATAAGAAAACAACCAAATATTTAATTAAAATCATAATGTGAATTGCTCAAGTTAGACAACATGAGCAAAAACTAATAACAAACAAACCAACAACACCAACAACAACAAAGCCTTAATTCCACTACGTGGGTTGGCTACATGAATCATTTTTCTCCATTGCATCCTATTTAGTGTCATATTTTCATTTTGTTCTATTAAATTAAGATTATTTTTTATACAATAAGCCGAAGTCTTCATAGGTCTATCTCTGTCTTTCTTAACATAAGTTGAATCTAAAACAACTACTCTCCTATTCGGATCATTAGATGGTCGACGCTTAAAACTGAGCGAAAACTAATGAACTTCAAAAATTGGTTTCCACCAAATTGCAGCAGATACGCTTCAACATGACCGGACTTTGGATTCTACTTCGAAAATGCTGGCTCTCAGGAAGCCAAAGGTCACCACAGAACAAAAATTGGATTCCACCAAAATACAATGTTTAAAGGAATATGTATTCCATCTGGAACATTGGTTTCTTCATTCTTCATTTTTGGTTTTTTTTTTTTTTTTGCAATTTCTACTGTTTTGTGATTTTAATTCTACTTCGAAAATGCTGGCTCTCAGGAAGCCAAAGGTCACCACAGAACAAAAATTGGATTCCACCAAAATACAATGTTTAAAGGAATATGTATTCCATCTGGAACATTGGTTTCTTCATTCTTCATTTTTGTTTTTTTTTTTTTTTTGCAATTTCTACTGTTTTGTGCATTAAAATCATGTCTTTTAGGGGCCTATTTATGAAGATTTACAGCTGAATTCATTTTTAATTTTTTTTTTTTTTTTTTTTTGCAATTTCTACTGTTTTGTGCATTAAAATCATGTCTTTTAGGGGCCTATTTATGAAGATTTACAGCTGAAAATCTTCAAAGTATGTGGCTTTGCTTCAGCTTTTGAATTAATTGGATCCCGAACAACTATTTTTGCAGATTCTAAAGAAAATTTTGTTGACAATATATGTGCAAAATTTGATCATGATGGGTTTCAAAATTCTCAAAATAAATTCACGGGGCATTTACATACATAGCACACAATTCTTTAATATTTACATTTCTCACATCTAAACTTAGAGCCACATAAATTTTCATACAATCTTAAATCCCATTGTAAACGAAATCTTGGATTTAGTAAATTCTGGAGGAAGTAAGATTTAAAACATTAATTGCTTACAAGCTTAAACCTGTATAAGAGCAAAGGGTTGAGAAACATTCATTCTTTTCACTTGTAACCTTATATTGCTGTATAACATAGACCTTAAGATTTCAGCTTACTTTGGTTTCAATCTTCTACAAGCCAATATAAATAACAGAAATTTACATACCTACCACATAATTTTTTTGGATTTACATATCAAACGCCTAGAGTTTGATATGTACAGGACTATTATCAATGAGCTATACAAGGACATAAGAGATTAAAATATGGTGATATTCTCATCTTGAGAATGAAAATTAGGGCTATTTGTTTAAAAGTCCTTATAGTTCTGTTTTTTGTAGTTTCAGTATTTTGCTAACAAGGACAATAGATTAACATATTTTGTTTCTATGCTAACAAGGACTGCAGATTAACATATTTTGTAAACAAGAGCTACTAAACATGATTTGGTTTTCTTATTACCTTTGTCATGCTTCTGGGGGTTGCCATGAATTCTTAGTAGCACCCTTAGGATTTATCAAAAGTAGCATTTAACAAAAATCATAATATCAGAACTCATCCATAATAAAATCAGATCTAGAGGCAATATGCGAGATTTCACTCTCAAAAGCTTCAAAATTTAGGTTTTAGGGAAAAAAAAATTAAACAAATCTAAAAGAAATTTAAGAAAATTCAAGCTAAGAGGCAAACATGAAGATAAATATGATATATTAAAGAAAATATACTCAAAGATGCCACCTCGGTAACCTTACAACCAACCAAGCAA